TGCATATAATTGTTTCTCCCTTAGAATTTGCAACACAATTCTAAGGTGAGTTTTGTGCTCCTCCTCGCTTTTAGAATAGATGAGAATATCATCTATGAACACAATCACAAACTTATCAAGATATTCATGGAAAACTCTGTTCATAAGAGCCATAAATACCGCTGGTGCATTAGTGAGTCCAAAAGGCATTACCAGGAACTCATAATGCCCATATCTTGTTCTAAAAGCTGTCTTTGATGTTGCTCCATCTGCCACTTTCAATTGATGGTATCCAGATCTCAAATCAATCTTAGAAAAGACTGATGCACCCTGCAATTGATCAAACAAATCATCTATTCTTGGAAGGGGATAACGATTCTTCACTGTCGCCTTATTCAACCTCCGGTAGTCAATGCACATTCTCATGGAACCATCTTTCTTCTTGACAAACAAAACCGGTGCACCCCAAGGTGAGATGCTAGGTCGAATAAACCCCTTGTCTAACAATTCTTGCAATTGTTCTTTAAGCTCCTTCAGCTCAATTGGTGCCATTCTATATGGTGCCATTGAAATTGGTGTTGTGCCAGGTACCAATTCAATATCAAACTCTACTTCCCTTTCTGGTGGAAGGCCGGGAAGTTCTTCGGGGAATACATCAGGAAATTCCCTTACCACCTCTACATCCTCAACCTTCTTATCATTTACTATAGTAACTTGAGCAAGAAAGGCTTCACAACCTTCCTTCACTAATCGAAAAGCTTCCAAGGTAGAAAGAAAACCATGAGTCTCCTTTTTCTTAATGCCTCGGAACACAACAGGACCTTTATCTGGTGTGTTAAATAACACTTCTTTCTTTTGACAATCCACAACAGCTCCATGTGTTGCCAGAAAGTCCATTCCAAGGATGACATCAAATTCATCAAAAGGTAGCAGAATTAAATCTGCTGCTAGGAAAGCTCCTTCCACACAAATGAAGGAACTTCTAATAACTGAGTCTACCTTCAAGGTATCTCCCACAGGTGTTTTAACACATAAGGTATAACCTAGCTTATCTGGAACTAAGCTAAGCATATGTGCAAACATATATGACATGAATGAGTGAGATGAACCAGTATCGATCAAAGCATATAATTGCTTGCCAAGGATAGAAAGCATACCAGTTACAACTTCTGGTGCCACTTCTGCCTCACCTCGAGTCATTGCATAAACCCTCGGTGCTCCCTGTGCTCTGGTACCCTGCGTACCACTTCCTGATGGCTGATTTCGACCACCACCTCTACCACCCTGTGAACCACCACGACCACTCTGAAATCCACTACGGCCTCCCTGGTAACCACCCCTGAATGGGGCTCTACTCATTTGCACTGAAGGCTCGGACTGTGTAGCTCTTACTTCTCTCGAATGCGGGCAATCCCTCATGATGTGCCCAGGTTGGCCACACTGAAAGCATACACCAGAAAATCTCCTACACTCTCCAAGATGCCTCTTCTGACAAACTTGACAAAATGGAAATTGTGTGGCTGAGGAAATTGGTGCCCTGTATGATGTTCCCGACATAGATTGACTCTGTGTTCTCCCAAAACTGCTAGGACCTCTCCTGGGTGGGTAACGAGGTCCAGCATAATTTACTCCAAACTTCCTCTTCTTCTCCTCTTCTTTGGCCTTGTGTTCCTCTCGGCTCTCAACTTCATAGGCTTCATACTTAAGTGCTGCCTCCTTGATTGTGGCCATGCTCTCTTCATCAACCCTGTGGATCTTTTCTTTCAATCCTATGCGCAGACCATGCAAGTATCTCATCTTCTTCTTATGCTCAGTATCCGCCAACCCATCCTCAAAGTAAAGCAGTCGAACAAACTTGATGGTGTACTCAGTAACTGTCATATTCTCCTGCTTAAGGTTGGAAAATTCATTGTTCTTTGCCCTGATAAAAGCTTCGGGAAGAAACTCTGTCTTAAAGGCCTTCAGAAACTCCTCCCAGGTGAACTGAACTCGTTCACCATTAACTCTAGAGACTGAGGACCACCAGCTCCTCGCATACCCCTTTAGGAGAAAAACAACATATTGCACTTTTTCCTCTGGGGTTGCATAAAGATACTCAAACACATCTTCCATCTCTCTCAACCACTCTACTACAGCATCTGGGCTCACATCTCCCTTAAAGTCCCTACCACCCAAACTCTTCATCTTTGCATAATCTAATACTGGCGGTCTTGCATCAACCGCCCCCACTCCTCTCGACTGGTCAGTAGGAACATTTTCACAACTTCCGTGCGAGCTACAAGGAAATATTGGCCTTAGATTGATCCACACAAAATTCATTCTTCACCAAATCTCTCACTTGGTTAAAACAAAATTTTCCCTAAATAATTACTTGAAAACAAATACATTAAAAACTCAATTTTGAAAACCATGATGCAGATAATTTCATCCAATATACCAATACACATAATCATGTCAAACTCAATTCCCAGTTTAAGTCATTATGGGGCACTCCCCTCCTTAGGAGTGTTTAACCTCCCATAGGGTATAGTACGCCATAACAACAAAAAGAGGGAACCGGGCTCTGATACCAAACTGTAACACCCTACCCTATACGTTTTGCCTAATCATATTGTTCATACAATTGCAGCCGAAATAATCTAGGGTGTTACATTAATTATCAAAATTTACCTAAATAAAATTTCGACATGAATTACTCGCGTAATGGGCTAACAGTTCTTGCAACTTAACTTGCAAAATAATTCATCACAAACATATATACTCACAACCATATGCATTGGCTTTTCTTAGCCATAGTCACACTTTTCATACTTCCTAACTGCATACCATACTTATACATACCATAATCGTCACAACTTACACAGTTACACAACATATACACATATCATTAACTTTCCACACCTGTGGATATCTCACACTAGATCAGAAGCTAGTATGCACATGAAAAACGTTCTCAAAACATTTTTACAAAAAGGTGTGGATCACTGGCCAAAATCCCGAGTAGTAGTCCAAGCACAGAATGGTTGAAGACCATACCTCATCTTGCCTTCAACTCTTGCTCAGCTCCCACCTATACACCTATCTACTGCTGCTGATGATGATCTGCTTACACATAGCATAAGCAGAGAAGAAGAATAAAAGAGGGTCAGCTCATAGCTGAGTGAGATAATCATAGCATCGTGAGTTCATAACAGAGCATACCCCTACCATACATCTAGCAAACAAGCCAAAACACTAGGATCGGATCTCAGCCCTCCGACATCCCAATAGGCAAAAGACTCAACCACCTTGACTTATGCATATGCATCTTATCATGTTTTACTTATAGGCGCCTGGCTACTCCCATGCTAATAACTCTCCCGGGAAACATACCCCACATCCCGTCGGATGTAGTCATACATACCCCAACATCCCGTCGGATGTGGTCATACATACCCCACACCACTATGGGTGTAGTCATACCCCGACACCACTCTGGGTGTGGTCATATCTCGTAAGAATTCTTCAGTCACCACCACATGAGAGGTGTGACTATCATATATATCATAATAGAGTAATAGCATAGGGAGCCCTAATTACTATGTAGTTGACCGTGAGACCACCACACTCATATTTGGTATCCTTATACATGATTCATATCTCATCTTGCTTAATCATAATTCATTACTTGCACATGTACTTGACCTGGCCATAATTGGCTCAACATAGGTAAACCAGGAGTCGTATAGTTGCACTTCCTCGGGATAAACCCTCCTGCAAGTCATCCTCCTTAAAACATCATGATATCACCAGGGAATATATATTTTCCCACTTGTGCATCCAAATACAACAATCATGAAAAATCATATCCAATCACCTTCTCGAACCATCGTAAAGCATATTAATAGTCAAGCCCACAATTTGCAACATATACACAATCATCAGCATAAACAAGGTTCATATCGATTAGGGCAAGTCAATAATATCATACAACAATCCAGGGTTCAACATATAGCACAAAAGTTCATACACCCCTAATCATGCCATTCTAGTTCACCTAGATCAATTCTAAGCATTAATATAATTATCGTGATACGACAAACCCGGTATGCCGTGCTAATCCCTCACTAGTTCTGGTCGTTCAAACACCGGTTCTAGCCTCCCGTACTAAAACATCAATTTCACGAACGAACCCCGAATTAAAATCCGAGACCGTCCTAATATCCCCTGCAGTATCCCCGTCAATATTAGTTCTAGGCTCCGGGTCAAATTCTTGGTAAAAACACATCAAACCCTGGCCGGAGCTAAATTCAGCGGTTTGGACGGCGGCCTAAATAATAGCCGAAATTCAGGGATTAGAACTAGAGGATTGATTACCTCGCTGCAGGCAGCTCGTATATGAAATTTGGGCTCAATCCGGCTTCCGGATACTCCGAAACCCTAATTTGCCTTATCGGGAATTCAAGAAATTCCTGAACCAAAAACTCGTTTTAAAGCTCTAAATCGATAAATCACGATGTATGGATGAATTAGGCATTACTTACGGGAATTTTGGATCACTAGGGCTCAAGAATCGAGCTCGGAGAATTTCCTGCTCTGTCTCCCTTGCGCGCCCTGTACTCTCGGTTTCTCTCTGTGTGCAGAGAATGAATTAATGGACATGGAGGTTTGGGATGGGGATATATATATCCGGCCGTCTCACTTACTTTTTAATATATATATATATATATATAATATAATATAATATATATAATTAATACGTATACTTATCCGATCGATCGATAATCTGATTTTCGCCGAAATAGTGTCGAAATGCTCGATTTTAAATCGCGAACTTTCTAGCGATCGAAAAATGGGTTTTGCCGGAACGGGATGTTACACAACCCGACAACTTTAATTTGCTTGTTTTGTTTAATTATTTTGCTGCTCGCTACTCGCTGCTGCCTACGCCTTTTTTTCTCTCGGCAAAGAATTTTCGTGTCACTGTGTTGCTGCCGTTCCCCCTGCTTTCCTAAGAGTTCCGCCCAGCAATTACAAAAGTTGCCTCGCCTCCAATTTAATTCCTCCTTCCCCTCGTAGAAAAGGCAGCCGCCCTCCAATAATTGCCTCAAGTCCAATTCTCCTTCCCCGAATAATTTTGTTGCCCGTGTCCAATTCCCCCTGAGCCATTATTTCACCAGGCCCACTTCTTCCCTCGTCCCAAGCTTCCTCTTCAAGGCCGTTGGGCCTTGAGCCCAAGTGAGAAGTCCACGAGTAATTCGAGCCCGATTTATTGCTTATGTACTCACTCCTTTTTCGTTCTTTCTCCACCTGTAATATATTAAACTCATGGCACTAGGCAGTAATGGTATTTTTTCAACCATTCTCGGGTTAGCGAGCCCTAAAATAGCACCAATTGGCTAAAACATACCATGGATAATCACATAAAGTCCAAAAATTCAATATGTTAAAGCCGATTATCATAACCATCCAAAACAATGACACACCACAGAGTCAACAACCAAACACTCGACACAAAACAAAATTTTCCTTGTACTCTTGTTGTAATCAGTAGTTTCTTTCTCAACGGATAAGTTGTGCTTTAATGGTCATACCTTTCACCCCACACTCAAGTTCTTTGCAACCATTCCCATTGACTGACTCAAATCCACCAAAAACTCAATTAGCAACACTAAAGTCAGATCGTCAGTAGCGGGTGATTAACAACTTATGGTGCAACAGTTATTAAGAGAATCTAACCACATCAATGAGGTGCATATCTCGTGAGGACAATCTGGCTTACTCACACCAATCATAAGCAATTAATTAAGCATGAGTCTCAAAAACTAATGGGGGAAGCCTTTCGCAAACATGATTTTAACTTTAAGCACATCACTACCTTTTATGACAAGGAGAGGCTTTCTCTCTTTCTGCTTTTGCTTGCCGAGAGGTCGTATTTAGTACAAGTGGGATTTGTTTCTTACTACCGGTGACCGAGCAAGAGCAATTTCTGCTTCTTAGCACTCGCATAAGGGCTTCTTTTAACTCCTTTTCCTCGGTCCGTGTGGAGGGTCATTGCATCCTCAAATGGCACTTCAATCAACTGGGGATCGTACTTGATAAGCAACATCGTACGGTCGCGTACCGATTCTCAATTGAATCTTTCCTAATCCCCATGTGCAATGAGTGATTGCCTCACACAATTTTGGCATTATTACCCACACTTTAATTGTTATGGCAACTTTCTTATATTTTACTTGTCAGGTAGTGTTTTCTTTTATGAAGATACAGTTCACCCCATCATAAAACCATCAAAACAGAGAGACTCGTTGCCAAATCAAAAGCTCACAATAGATGCAAGTAAGCACGGTATCCAAACATGTCGAATGGTCAATGTTCTCCACCTAACTACTTCACCAAAAGTCATTACACTATCCTCACAAAAGAGAATGTTGCTAAAAGATTTGCTCATTCCAAGCATATCAAGTCAGTCAAAACATTTAAGCTCATTGTGAAGAACCATGCAATTCAACACTAGTGGGGTGATTTCGATGATTTCATTCAAGCACAAACTCATTTTCAAAGCATCACGGTCATTTACATCATGTTACCACAAGAGTACAAGGTTTTGTTTTTTAATTTTTCTGATTTTGAGGTGTTTTTTAGCCATTAGCTTTGCACAGGCAGCCTGCTTTTTACACAGGCAAACTGCATGCAGTTTGGCTGTGCTCAACCTAATGGGAATATTTTTTTTACCACATGCAACAGGGACAAACAACACTAAGACTCACCACCCCACACTCAAAATGGAACATTGTCCCTAATATTCAACTCCTAATCTAAACATGCACGGGTTTGACACAACTAAAAAGAAAAATAAAGAAAAGAAAACTTACCTTGGGTTGCCTCCCAAAAAGCGCTTGTTTCACGTCCTCAGCCTGACGTTCATGGAGCTTTCAACCAATGGGTATGGAAAGGTATCCAGCATACCCTCCCGAGCAATGATAGAACACATAACCTCCATCCAACATATGAGTCACCTCAGCAGGGCCAGGTGTGCAAAAATTTGGTATGACCTTCTTAGCTTGCATGTTGGACCCTTTAGTGAGGCGTAGGTGGTATTGCAGTGCCTCAAGCAAGTACTCTTCCTGTTTCAATGTCAGTATAGAAGGAATAATGACAGGAAGATTGAAATCCTTACCCAAATATCTATACTTGAGGTGATCTGGCAATGATTTCTGTCCTTGCTTTGATTTCAAAATCTGAGCTGATAGGACATGTGATACTTCAGCTGATCCACTATCACAGGAAGAGGAATTTTTCCTTTCTTGAGCACCACTTTCAAAGTCATCAAATGCATCGTGATTATGATCAACTTGAAAGACATTAAAAATTTCCTCCTCCTTACCTACTCGGAATGTCAGTTTGCCTCTCCCAACATCGATGAGTGCATCTCCAGTTGCTAGAAAAGGTCTACCAAGAATGAGAGGCACTCCCCGATCATCTTCCATCTCCAGAATTACAAAATCTGTTGGGAGAATAAACTTCCCCACCTTCACCAATACATTCTCCACCACTCCTTTTGGAATTTTTACTGATCGATAAGCCAATTGGAGAGTGATCCGAGTAGGCTTAAGAACATCTCCCAATCCCAATTTCTTGTAGACTGAGTATGGCATCAAATTAATTCCTGCTCCAAGATCACAAAGTGATTTATTGAATTCTGTACCTCCAATGACACATGGAATGGTGAAGCTGCCCGGATCATCCCTCTTTTTTGGTAATTTATTCTGAATCACAGCACTACATTCAGAAGTAAGGGTTACCTTCTCCAGATCAGCCCATTTGCGCTTCTTCGTCAGCAACTCCCTTAAGAATTTAGCATATGTAGGCATCTGTTCAAGTGCCTCCGCCAACGGTATGTTGATATGAAGTTGCTTGAAGATATTCACAAATTTCTTGAAGTTTGGATCTTCCATGGGCTTCATTAACCTTTGAGGGAATGGTGCGGGAGGTTCATAAGGCTTTACCTCTTCCTTCTTCAATTTTTCCACTTTTTGAGGTACACGGGCAGATTGCTTTTGCACAGGCAGATTGCATGCAGTTTGCCTGTGCAAGTCAGATTTTTCAGCTTTTGCACTTTCTTCATCCTCTACCTCTACAACTCCTTCTTTTTCAGATTTTGTTGACTTCCTTGAACTCTCTGGATCCTCCAAGGCCTTTCCACTCCTCAATGTGACAGCTACAACCATGGCGTCCTTCGGATTCCTCTCGGTATTTGCTGGTAAAGTTCCCGGAATCCTACCTTGAATATCTGCCAAAGTTTGAGCCATCTTGCCTATTTGCCTCTCCATAGCTAGCATAGATGATTGCATATTGTTGTTTATGGCTAGCTATTGAGTGACAAATTGATCAAGACCCTTGAAATTATTGTCTGTTTTCTGCATATGAGCCAAAATCAACTCCTCCAACTAGGGCTTCTTCTCTGGTTGAGGTTGTTGCTGCTGAAAACCAGGAGGTGGGATGTTTCGAACACCAGCTGGATTAATGTTTGACCATGACATATTGGGGTGATGTCTCCATTGAGGGTTGTATGTATTTGAATACATACCACCCTGGCCTTGACTTCGCGGATTATTGATATATTGGACATCTTCCAACTGAGCAGCTCCCAGTGGACACATATCCCTATGATGAGGACCCTCGCAAAGTTCACATAAAGCAAGCTCCTCTTGTATACCCAAAGCAATCTTGGCCAGCCTTCGTTCGAGTGCATCGAACTTAGAATCCAGATTGGCATCTATCTTGGCTTCTAGACTCGCAACTCTGTTTATCTCATGCAAGCCTCCTCTTCTTCAAATACTGGTCTCACTACCCCATTCAGTTGCTTCTGAATAGATCTTCTCTACCAGATCATATGCTGCTGGTGCCTCCATGCTTGTGAAACCATTTCAAGAAGCATTATTCAGGGCATCCCGGATCTCCCTTCTGATTCCATTGAAGAAAATAATGATCACTGATAGACCGTTAATTACACATGTTTTTACCCCTGTTCTTACACCGTTTGAGATATGATTTCTCGTATTTTAGGACGATTTCACGCTAGGTTGTGCTTGTTTGTGATATTTCAGGTCCTAGTACGTGAATGGAGGCTTGGGAGCGAGTTTGGGGTCGATTGGAAGAAGATCGGGCGCGAGGCAAGTCAAAAAGGAGGCCACACGGGCACACCCACAAATCACACGGCCGTGCAACTCATATTTCTGGCCGTGCGAGTTTTGCCGAGAGCAAACACGGCCTGCCCTGACAACTCACACGGCCGTGTGAAGAAGTGGTCTGGCCGTGTGACTTTTGCCGAGAGCAGACACTGGCAGATGGAAATCAAACACGGCCGTGCCACTCTGGCCGTGTGAGAAGCCTGAAGATCGAACTAAGTGCAACGCAGCGTTTTGACTCACACAGGCAACTGGGTATGCCACACGGCCGTGTAGCCCTGCCCGTGTGAGTCGGGATTTCCTGGTTTTAACCCAATTCCGGGCTTCAAGAGAGAGAATCGGACTTTTTGACCAAAACAGAGTTCTAGAGAGAGAAAGGACGAAGAACACATCCTAGAAGCCATCTTGGAGCTGGGTTTCATCAAATCAAGCTTGGAGATCGTAATAGGAGTGGAAATCATCATCCCAGAGCATATTTTCCTCATCTTTATGAGTATGACTACTTTGTATCTTGTTTTCCTCTCTCTCTCTATGGAGTAGAACCCCTCTCTCACTTGGGGATGAAGAACCCTAGTTCTATGTGTTAGGGATTGATTGTAATGACTTGGGATGAGATTACTGTTTGATTTTAATCGAATGATGCATGTTTATTGAGTCAATTGAAGTCTGATCAACTTTTCCTGATTCCTGCTGCAATCTGAGATAGATAGAATCTGATTAGGTTGCTAGAGTCTCATCATTCGATAGTAGGAGATTGGCTATACGAGAGTTAGCCAGTTTACTGCTTTGTACTGGAATCCAATTCCAGTAGTGGAGTTTTGTTCTTACTGCTTCAGCTTTCTATCCCGGTGAAGACTAGTCGTCTGCCGGGTAGTTAGACTGAGAGTGCTTGGTCAGCTTAAGAGATTCCAAGCTACTGTCGGATCTTCCGCAGTCTAATCAACAGTAAATCAACCCAGGGAAATACAATTGAAACCTAACTAAGGAGCTAGGGGGACTCATTCCCGAGTGACTCTTTCCTGATTGAGAAAACCGAATAATTTCCTGCTTTCTTTCTGCTTTTGCTTTTAAACAACAATCACTTACTTTAGTTGGCTAGATAACAGAGAATCACTGAGTAAGCAGTAGATCTAGACCCCGGGTTGATAATTTAACTTGCCTGTTACTGCATTCCCAGTCTGCGATTACACTTGGTCGCAGATTGGTGTTGTGTTTTGGCGTGTCAAGTTTTTGGCGCCGTTGCCGGGGAACCCTCTAGGTTATTGGGGAAACGTGAGAATTTGTTACTCTAGCTTTTTATTTACTGCATTTTATCTCTTCCACCTGTGTACCTTCACGGGTTTCTTCTGCTGATTGTGTGCAGGTAGTGCGTGACCCGTAGCCAGTCGGGAGATCTACTACCACTAGACCAGGAGCTTGAAAGAACCTGCAGAAACTTCAAACGGGCTCTAAAGGCGCGACTGGCTGCGGAGGAGGCGCTAGCACAGCTACAGATCACTGAAGAAGAGGAGATGGCTAATCCACAGGACCATGCTGTGGTCGATCCCGAGGAGCAGACCATGGGACATTATTGGACCGCTAGGGCTGCAGACATGAGGTCACCCATTCAACACCCTCATGTCCCAGTCAATAATTTTGAGGTGAGCACCTCAGTAATCACCATGCTGCGCGGTTCGGTGATGTTCCGTGGTAAGAAGGGGGAGTGCCCCCGATCACATCTAAGGCGATTCCACGAGCTCATTGATGGAATCAAGATCAATGGGGTACCCGCAGATGCCATCCAGCTGAGGTACTTCCCATTCACCCTGGAGGGGCAGGCCAAGGAGTGGCTAGACACTCGACCTCCAGGCTCCATCACCACGTTCGCCAACCTGGCGGACAAGTTCCTCACCCGCTACCATCCTCCATCCAAGACAGCTGACTAGCAGAAGCAGATCACCCACTTCACCCAGGACGAAGATGAGACCATCAGGGATGCTTGGGAGAGATACACCAGTCTTTTCCTCAGGTGTCCCAATCATGGTTTCAATGATGCGTTCAAGGTGGGCACCTTCTATCACGCCCTTTTCCCGGAGGACAAGCAGCTGATTGATTCGGTTTGTGGCGGGAACATGCTGACCAAAACACCGCCACAGCTGAATCAACTCTTTGAGGAGATGGCGGAGAACGGGTACGATTGGGGCACTGCCAGGAGATCGAGACGAGCACCAGGCCGGGGTGTGCATGCTGTGGGCACCCAGTCATCTGATCTGGTGCAGGTGGTATCGAAGCTGGTTTCAGCTATCGATCGTTCTGGTTTGATTGCAGGTACAGGACAGCCGCAGGTGATGCACTGCCAGTGGTGTGAGAGCTCCCATCACACCGTAGAGGACTGCCAGGCGATGAGGGAATCATCTACTCCCCAGGAGCAGGTGGACTTTATCAGTAATGCTAGGCGCTTCGACCCCTACAGCAACACTTATAACGAGGGGTGGCGCCAGCATCCTAACTTTTCCTCGGCTGGGGCAAATCCCAAACCACCAGCTCCCCAAGGACCACCTGGCTTCCAGAGGCCTCCGTACCAGCCCAGACAGGGGCAATTTCAGCAGCCACAGCAGCCACTCTACTAGCCCAGACAGGGGCCAATTCCACCACAGTCACAGGTGCGACCATTTCAGCAGACAGGAGCAGCACCTGCAGCTCCAGTACAGAGTGACCCGATGGCGGAATTGAGAGATTTGGTGGGTTCTCTGGCCACCTCCAGTGCGAACAAGTTCAATAACATCGAGCAATTCATGGAGAAAGCTTCAGGCAAATTCTTGGAGCTAGAAGCTGGTCAGAGAAATACACAGGCTGTGCTGCGGGATATACAGACCAGCTTGGGAGTGTTGCCCAGGCTGTAGCTCAGAGGACTCCTGGTACCTTGCCTGGTCAGACCATTCCCCATCCACAGGATCCGAATGCCAACTGCAGTGCCATCACAACCAGGAGTGGCAAGGTGATTGCCGATCCGCCTGTTCGGGCAGAGGAGAGAGAGACCCCTGCTTCAGCACTTCCAGCTAATCAGGAAGACATGGAGAAGGAGGTTGAGGTGCCTGCTCCTAAACTGCAACCAGTGGTGAAGGAGTATGTACCCCAGCTTCCCTTTCCTACTCGGTTACACAAGGACCGACTGGAGACTGAGTTTGCCAAATTCATGGCAATGCTGAAGCAAGTAAACATTAGCATGCCCTTCGTGGAGGCATTATCGAAGATGCCCAAGTATGCCAAATTCATGAAGGATATCCTCACCAACAAGAGGAAGCTTGGGGAGCTGTCAACGGTGATGCTCAACGAGGAGTGTTCTGCCATCCTGCAGAACAAACTACCAGAGAAGCGAAAAGACCCAGGGAGTTTCACTATCCCTTGCATGATTGGTAGTTTGCATGTAGGGAAGTCCTTGGCGGATTTAGGCGCTAGCATAAATGTTATGCCTTATAAAATGTTTAAAAAGCTAGGCCTAGGTGAACCCAGTGATACTAGGATGAGCATCCAGCTTGCTGATAGATCCATTGTGCATCCTAGGGGTATAGCAGAGGACTTGATAGTCGCAGTAGGGCCATTTTCATATCCTGTTGATTTTGTGATTTTGGACATAAATGAGGATGTTGATGTGCCATTGATACTGGGTAGACCTTTTCTCGCCACCGCCAAGGCGCTTATTGATGTGAATGATGGAAAACTGATTTTGAGAGCTGGGGGTGAACAAATCACCTTCTCTGTTTCTGATAATATGAAACACCCCCAGCTCCATGATGATCTAGATTATGGTGATGTTGTTGCTGATTTTGAGACCGCACTCGCCATCACGAGTGCGGGTACTGATGATTTCCTTGAGCGTTGTCTTTTGCTAGGAGAACAGGCATCACAGGACATGCAGTTGGAGGAGCAGCTCGCGGAGCTAGATGAGGCCATGATCGAGGGGCGAGAGATACCATTCAAGTCGATCCCTATCTCGCCCCGGATCGCTACATCATTGGAGGAGCCACCAGAGCTGGAGCTTAAGCCCCTCCCCTCACACCTGGAGTATGCATTTCTCCGGGAGGGGAATAAGCTCCCGGTCATTATTAGCTCGGATCTGACACCCGAGCACAAGAGCAGGCTGGTGGCTTTGCTGCAGAAGTATGCCCTGGCCATGGCATGGAAGATCACAGACATCAGAGGCATTAGCCCATCCTTCTGCTCCCACAGAATTCTGATGGAGGATGAGGTTAAGCCAGTCAGGCAGCCGCAGAGGAGATTGTCTCCTAACTTGGAGGCAGTGGTCCGGGCAGAGATCGTGAAGCTCATGGATGCAGGGATCATCTTTGCTATACCTGATAGCAAGTGGGTCAGCCCCACTCAGGTGGTCCCGAAGAAAGGCGGGATGACTGTGGTCCCAAATGAGAAGAAGGAGTTGATCCCGATGCGGACCGTGACTGGATGGAGAGTCTGCATCGATTACCGGCGCCTGAATGACGCCACCAGGAAAGATCATTTTCCCCTACCTTTCATTGATCAGATGCTGGAGAGGTTGGCTGGCCATGAGTTCTATTGCTTCC